AACCGATAAATGGAAATCTGATCCGGGAACGTACGACTTCCAATTTTCAGCCCCCCCCCCAACACCAAAGGTGGTAAATGGAACCGGTAATTGGAAATGTCTACGTTCGTCCCCCCACACTTCCATTTAGCACGGCGGGGGGATGATTCAAGCACCACCCCAGTCCAGCACCTTTCGAAATCTATCTTGTTCTAGCACTGCGGGTTTATGCATCATCGCCACAATCTGGCGAAACAAAGCTTACTCGAGCACTATGTTGTGTACCACCATCAGGTAGCATAGTTCTAGTTTACTAGAAAGTTCAGCCCCTGCCTGAAGTAGCAGTCTCTCATCGCACTGGCACTACACCACCTTCAGTACATATTTGTATGGCTGCTGCTACAACTACGGCCACTTCGGCGAAGCTGCAGATGGCAACAGGATTTGTCTCCTGATCAGTCTCCTGGTCTTCATGATTCCTCATCATTTCTGAGACGCTGAAATGCCAACTCGCCAAGTATGGGCTTTCGAGGGATGTGACGCAGCGCGAGTTGTTTGCGAGGGAAACTTATCTCCATCCCCCTCCACTTGAGCACGCGCTTTATTCGATAAGTTCATCGGTTGGCTCGGACACGCCAAGAACGAACGTTCCAGCCCAACCGGAGCGGGATGCCGTCGATCATGGTACTCGCGCTTCCACCTGGTCCTCGCTCACTTCCGCTGTTTCAGGGTGCTTTTTCGTTCACGGCTCGAGTCGCTGAGAGTTGTTCCGCCATGCCTTCGCAGGACACAACTTGACGCCGTCAGGTTGCACCGGCTTAGGGCCACCCTCGCCCAGTGATTTCCTTCTGCACGATCCTCGTTCCAGGCTTCCACCTCAGCGTTGAGCCTGGGTAAGTCTTCAACGGACCCAAAACCCCAGTGTAGGAAGCCTTCTGCATTTCCGGCTTCCTTTCGAAACCGAGAAAAATCAAGGCAAACCGCCAGGCGGTACCAGGCGTGTCTGAGAGCACGCACAACTGCACCAATGCACATGCTTATGATGTATCACAACCAAATGTGCAGAGCAGCATGATTCAGCCGGGTCACATAAATCCAGTTGCTGACCTACCAAGCACTCGCGAGTCTGAAGGACTGGCAAACCACCCGGCATGTCGTGCAAACATCAGCTAAGCCTGTCCAGCTGCAGTTGGAGTCGAACCAATATCGAATGGTTCCAACCAGATGCACAAAGCTGCCACGCAAACCCCCAGCGATTGAACCTTGGAATATGTGCGGTCCTTGTAAAATCAGACGCTATCCAGCGGGCACCAGAGCTTACCTCAATTTTTCTTAGCGTCAAGTTGCAATGTCGCCTATGACGTGAGCCAGGGCGGCTTGCACGGCAACGCTGTCATCGTCATGGGAATGCCCGTGGCCACCATCGTGCCTACAGGCTGCTTGCGACGAGCACGGCCTATGCTTGGAACCTAATTTCAGTTGCGGCTTTTTGGCTGCCGCCACGGAACGAGTGCCCGTGCCCCAACACCTCACAACGATATCGCTTGAAGAAGGGCCTTCTGACTGGAAGCGTGAAAGAGAGAGACATGTGGCGATCCTGCATCAATACCAGGTTCACAACCAAGCCGATCGTGGCAACGACAAACCTGACAATTGCAATCCGGCTGTCAATGAGTCCACGGCAATCGGCAACTGCTCTAATCCGCTGGCAGCCCACTGAGGCAACTGCATCAGTTTCCCGTTGACTGGTTCCGGCCTGGAGGTGGGAGAACACTGTGTAAGAATTGCAGCCCAGCAACTTGAGCTGAGTCTCCTGAAAAATCTTGGCAATGCCTTCAGCGACAATGCGAAACACTTGCTTCTTTCGGAATATCCTGCACATGCACACCCATCCAAGGCCTCCGACAGCAGCACTGCTGTAAGGGCCCAAACAAGGGCCACTGACAACAGCGCACCCAGAACTTCTGCCTGCTGGGACGGATGCACTGCCGACAGATACCTCGAACAGACAGCAGCCTGCTTGTAGCCGAACGTGTACTCCTTCGTTGCTTCCATTCTGGAAAGCTGTAAGGCAACCAGCGACACGATGAAGCCACCGACATCGGACAGCATGTGTGCCTGAATTGCATGCAAGTCTTCTGTGCCCATGCCTGTTTTCCATGCAGTTTACAGGTCTGGCCCAGGAGCTGCATCCGTAAGGACGGCCAAAGAATTGGCCTTGGGCATCAGACGATCGAGAGGGGAAGATGGAAATCATGCTAAACAGCAGCATGAAAACGGGTCCAACAACCCTGCAACAGCACAGTCCATGACACCCTCGGTGAATGGGTGTGACTGTCGACCTTTGTGAGGTTGGGCACAGACACGGGTCTCATGGTCCACAAGAAAGGGAACCTCTATCGGGCACCCATTCTTCAGGCCGGTGATTCACGTGTAAAGTGCTGACCCTTCGATGCTGGCACGGCCTGAACTGGAAAGGATACTGCTAGATCCCGCTTGTAACAACCATCATGCCAGGAGCATTCACCAACCAACCCAGGTCGGGTGTCCTCTGGTGGTCCCGGCTCATCTCGCAGTGGTCTCACATTGAAGATGCAAAAAAAGGCGGGGGCAATCTTGATCCACAGTCCTTACACGCCAATTCCTTCGGGTATTGCCTTCTGCGGAGGAACCACACCATCGTTCCCCGGTGGGCACCTGGCGTTAGCTTAGCAGGGTTTCCTTGACTTGCGCCGGTGTGCTACAGTCAACCCATGCCGATGCCCCAGGCATGGCTTCAACCTGATGGAAAGAGCACTTCAAAGCTTCCGTTTCAGGACGGCCATCGCCCGATCTAACCTGCAGTTTCTTCTGAAGCGGCACATTGTCGATTTCAAGCTTCTCAAAGCTTGGCAAGAATTCATTGACCCGATCCTGCGCATGTGCGTGAACATTTTGGGTCAAGGTTGCCCAGGCGCCTGCAAAATCGTCCGCAATCGTGTTTCGGCTTACGATCGCTAATGATCGCTACTCAAGGATACGGAAACGACACAGCTGGCAATAGTCGGAAAGCTGTCCGACATCGAGGAGGGGGAAGACAGAGCGAAACGCCCGGACTAAAGGTCCACGATCACGATCTCGCGAAGTAAGTAATTTTAATATGGCAGATGTCTTCTGACATAACACTTGCGAGTCGCAAGCTCTGACCGTGCAAGTAGCAAACGTGACGTTGACCCGGCAGGCAACCTGCTTGCATTACCTCACTTGCGGGCAAGAAGCCATCAACCCACCGATGATCTCCACCAGCATAAACGACCTGGACAGAAAACTCCTAGCAACGGCGTAGCACGAAACGCGATAAGCATTGTGTCGTTACGGCCATGGCTTCATGGAAAACTAGAGCCAGGTGGCAGAGCCCAGAACACGGCTCTTTGCAGACGCTGCTCATCATCGAGATAGTCGGATTTTGACGTCTCCACAGAGTGGCTGTGGCCATGTCCTTCGTCACCGTGGCCATGGCTAGAGTGGCTGTGGCCATGTCCGTCGTCGCCGTGGCCATGGCCATGATCGTCGTGCCCATGGCTGTGGCCATCCATCAGGGGCCGTTCCAAGTCATGGCCGTGGCCGTGGTGATCGCCATGACCGGACATTTGGCACAGAGACGCCTACTCTGCTCGAGCTCGAACAGAAGGCTGCGCTCGCATTGAGCTGCCTCTTACAAGCACCTGGATCATCCTGACAGTTGCACCGGCATTGACAAAGGGTCACACACAGTGGGACTTTTTCTTAGTGCAATTTAGTGCAGCTCCACATCCAATTGGCACGGGCAATGTCCGATCCGACGTGAATTATAATTAAAGCGGCACAATCTGGACAGCGTATATACACGACCTGAAACAAGTCCAGCCGCAAGACACAATGCCGCCGCTCTGTGCAGTCTGCCAAGTCTCGACCTCATGCTTCGGCCTCCCGCGCAAGCGACAATGCACGATGGCACACATCGTCCGTGCCTCCGCACTCAGCTAAAGAATGGCAGAAGCCAGGCCTTGGATCAGAGCAATCAAAGCCTCCAAATAGAAATTCTATGCCCATCTATACCCTGAAAGATCTCCGGCCTCCGGAATGAGGGATTCTAAACCGATCCACTTACAGTGCCAAGGCTGCGGCAACAACGATCAGGCCGACAAGCAAAGTCCAAAACTGGCCGGAGAAAAGGGGATGGAAGACACAAGAGATCTACAGAGGAGTTCGTGACAAAAATTATTGATGCTACGGCGTGCCGCGGCACAAGTCTCCGACATGAGGGCATGCACAAAGGCATCTCGTTGCACCCTTTTTCAGCTAATGCTTCCGCTCGTTGACCTTGGCTGTTGCAAAAAACACCGAAGCACTAGCCAAGGAACTAGTTCATTTATGATTAATGACAGTTGCTAGCTGCTAGCTTGTTGACTGCAGCAATGATCAGCTGTTGAACACATGGCGACACTCATGGTGACAACCAGCTCCAGTCGATAAGAGTTGGCTAAAGCGCAGTGCACGGGCCATCTCGGGCTTGTCGGCCTCAAGATACAGCAACTTCACAGCTTGCAAGAATGGACTTGTCTCAAGGCTGCAGCCCTGGCCAGGATCTGGATGGATCTGCCAAGCAGAGCTCGGTCCGGCCGAAGCCTATTCGCAACCGAAATCGAGAAGCGCAGCCTGGTGGAAACAGCCTACTGCAGGCTGCCTGGAGTGCAGAAGTAGCTGTACCACACCCTGCCAAAACGTCTCGCGACCCTGTACAGTGACCTCAGCCAGTGCACGCAAAGCTTTCCGTCAGTCCGGCTTGTCAATGTCCACACTGCGGCGGAGGCCTTCACTCCCCAGACTACTTGTAAGCCAGCTGCCAGCGCATCGTATGATACCATGTCTTTCTGCACTACGAGTTGGGGCATCCTTGGCGTGCAAGTGACGTCTCGAAATCTATTTGTCAGGCTGCTATCTTTGCGAGCCGAGGTGTGAACTGCCGCATCCTGGCCACATGCATTCCAATGTTCGCATCACTGCTAGAGCGATTCTTCTGGACCGACACCTGCTTGCTCGGATGACTAACACTAAACCGCAAAACATCATTACAACCGATGATACCAATTCTCTCGGCTTAACCCACCAGGACTCATAATGCTCTCCCTAGAACACCTCATCACGCATTTCAGAGGAACACCGCCTTGGAAGCAGCATGCGGCGTCCGGATCAAGCGGATCCTTTTGAAGAATCTTGGGCAACGCAGGCCGGGCTCACAAATCCAAAGCTGTACACCAAAGCCGGCTCTGGCCACAAGCCACGAACCTGGTATTTAAACATGTGTTGTGATGCTGAACACTCATGCCATGTGTGGTTAGTGTGGTTGTGATGCGGAACACTAAAGCAGTGGCACTACCTGCAATTTGTAAGCCAAGCCTGGACACCTTACTCGCTTGTTCAATTGCTTCTCCAGATTTTGCTTTGTTAATACTGTTTTGCACGGCTTTCCGTCCTGAGCCTCTGGCACAGCATTGAGTGTGGCAATGTCGGGGCGCAAGCCAAACATGTGCATGTCCTGCAACTGCACGGTGACAGGTCTCAAGCAGTGCTGGGAATCTCAACTGATATCTTGTAGCGCAAATGCTGTGCATGCAGACATACCCGCACCGGCACATTTGCAGCAGAATGCACAGATATGTAAAGTTTCCACGCACATGCAACCAAGCAACACACAGGACACCAATCGCTTGCTTCCAGCGACGCGTCTGATCAGGCAGTGGCTATGTTGAGGGACACTATGCATGAGAGCTGCACCGGCATGTAGATTGCAGAGTCGCCTTCTCGTAAAACTTGACCGCGGCATAACAGAGCCTCTTGTCTGTTCGACAACCTGCGATCAAACTGGCTTCCAAAGGCGGTTTACATCAACTGGCTGGTGAATGAGATTTTACGAAGAGTGTTGGCAAGAAGATGGCAAGACCAACAACATTCGAACAACTTGCTTGTTCCTCAGGATTTCGGGACGACTGTCTGTGTGTGTGCCTGTTTTTCTGTTCCTTGCTGAACTACACAGGGGCGGGTTCGCGTGGTGCCCGTGAGGCTGTCTCTGCACGAATGCGCGCAGTGCTCTCGCACACTTCGGGAGATACCAGGCGCTTCAGCCTAACACCATGGCTTCTGAAGTGAAGCAGCTGATGCACATGTCCAGCACATTCTTTACAGCGCACCTGGCGATTGAAGCATTGCAGCTCTGGACCAAGCGCTCCTGTGCACAGACTGGCTAAGTCTGCAAGAAGCTCTGCAAGGCTGGGGCATCTCGGCAGCTTCCACCTACTTGCCTGCATTCGGGCATGATGGTCGGGATGCGAACACCAAAGTGCTCGACAAACTAGCGGGCCCCATGCAAATCGACAAAAAAAAAACTGTGGCCCTGTACAAGCTTCATCGTATCTGTGCGCATTGACTTTCGGATTTCGTGGTGTCACAAGCGAAAGACTTCGCAGCTCAAGGCCGCATCTCTCACAGCTGTCGTCGGCGGGCTGGTTAGACTTGCAGCATGTCTTGTTTATCGGTGCACTCGCTGCCGTCGCATGCGATCACTCCTGCTCCAGACATCTAGCGGCTCGAGTTTCTTTAGTTTTGTCACGTTTCATGCCACTTGCAAGTATCCTGCCACTCTAAGGAGCATTTGTACGCAAACTCGTCGGTTAGTGGGATTCGCAAGTGGTGGCAGCCCTACCTAAGCTGGCAAGCAACAACAAATTTACTGAAAGCGAATGAGGGCTGCTGCCACTGCTGCTACTGCTACTACAACTGCTACTGC